GACTATCAACAAGTAAAATGCCAGCGCAAAATACAGTGGCTTATTTTAATAGTAACGGAATAGCCCGGAAAAGAACAGAGACAACGGTTAATCCGTCGACCCTGAGCGAGCGCTATTGTCCGGTGAAAAATGTGAGCTGTTGAAGTATCGTCTACAGCTACAAGGGCAGAACGGCGAATGAGGCCTGGCAAATCACCTGGTCCAAATAGAATTCACCCACTTGACATCCAGAATTGACTGACGTACTATGCAAGCCGGTGTCCACGATATTTTAAAAGTCCATGGAAGAAGCTGAACTGCCGAAGGAACGGAAAACTACAAAGGAAGGTACAGACTGAAGTCCGAAATTTACCCTTCTATTAGTTTAACCTTAATTTCCGTACTAGGTAACGGAACAACTTGTTAAGGAACAATAAGTGACGTATCTGGAACGGCAGAACCCAGCATGTTCTGCTCAACAAGGACTGCGTCGCGGTGGCTCATGACTTGCCAGTATTCCTTACTCGTAGGAATAACGAACGAAATTCACAGATCAAGGCCACCCAGGTTACGTCACCTCCTTTGACTTAAAATGGCGTTTGATAGCGTGCCTCATGGGCAACTCCCACAGAAGATTTGGCAGTGTAGAATCCAGGGAAACATTTTTAATTGCATTAAAAGTTTCCTGTCACGTAGGTTACAAGGAATAATTGTTGGTACCGCTGCACCAGAATGGGCATCATTAGTAAGCGGCGTTCCGTGGAGATCGGTCTTGGGTCCTGTCCTCTCTCTCAGCTTTATCAAGGGCTATACGGCAGATCTTGACTGACATGCCATCATGTTTGCTGATAATATAAAAAGTTGGAAAACAATCAGCTGTGCTGATGACGTGCAGAAACTGCAAGAAAACATTTATAAGTTGGCTGTATGGTCAGGCAAGGGGCTTCTAACGTTTAAGGCATCCAAATGCGTAGTCTTGCGCTTGGAATCTGGTCGGGGACGTTTTTCAAAACACCACTACAGCTTAAAAGGGATTCCACCAAAAGAAGTGTGTACGCACAAAGACCTAGGTGTTTGGAGAACTTCAAGCTTGCTGCCGTCCGAGCACTGCAAAAGAGCCATCCAAAGGGCAACCAGCATCATGCACTGGACTAGGCGGACTAAGGACGGACGACAAAACTGGTGGACAATCTTCAGACTCAGTCATATCCGGAAAAACGGATACAACTGAAATTGTTTTCCCTGTACTGTAGGCAAATGAGATGCGACCTATAATGGACATTCCGCATTACCTGGGGCATTATCGCTCGCTCAATTCTGTAGATTACTTTTAGATCACAAACAAAAGTCACCTGCGCAGTCCTCCAAACAAGGTCAAAGGTGAGCATGCGTGCCTAAACTAATGGAACTTTTCATTCAGTCAGCTTAAGGTTTGAACGTGGAGTCCACTTCTAAGTGGAATAGTAACACATGACAAATTGGTCGTATTCAAAAGGCAGTTGGATCGTTTGATTTTTGATAAAGGACGACTCTCACTGCTGGAATATTACGGCCAACAATAAACTATTCCTTGATTTCATTTCTTATGCAACGCATCCCTGCGCGTTTGATGAACACTTTTACCGTAAACAACATAAATGACTATATTCTGTGGTAGGTGGCGCTCACCGATCGTTCATACGGAACTCAGTCGTTTCGTTGTGCCTTAAGGGCTCTCTCTCGAGCCCAACCAGCAGCAGCACAGCGGCGCATGATATATAGGCAGAATGGTATTACCGACAAAGACAAGGGAGTCTGGAATGGTCATTTTCGGCTTATTAGCCGTCGTCAGCCAGCCATACCCAAGCTCGAAGTGTGGAACACCCGAGCCTCGAACTCGCGAACTGTTGGTTTAGAAGTCCACGCCCATATATTCTATTCATACGCAATCTTCCCATATCCATTGACGTGTAAACCAAAGCATATAAACATACTTGAACCGGGAATTCGTCAAAGTTCATGCTTGCAACACATTTTGCGCCCTCGACATTCATGAGCCAGATATAATTCAGTATATATAGGGTAGAAAGGCATGACCTTTAAGAACCCTAATTAAAGACATAGACTGAAAAAACATACATATGTTTACGTACAGATACGAGTTCATTTTATCAGTTCTTCTCAAGTAAATACATGGCCATCATATAAAATGTCAGCAAGTCTGCGTTTAAAGGTCTTAACGCTTTCCGCCAGAACAACCGAATCATATAATTTGTTCGAATCCTTAATCGCCAGTCGGAGAAAAAATTCGCCCGTACTTCAAGCTTGGCGTATCTCGTCTTCAATTTATGTCTGTAACCACGGAGATTTGTCGTTTTTGCCAGTCCAAAAATCGGCCAATTTGAGTGCACAGTCTACTCCACTGACAAAGTTGAAGGCCAGGATCATGTCCCCACTGTATTGCCTATAAGAGAAGTTTGAGCCTTTCTTGCCGCCCCTTCAAAAGGTAGGATCTTCGGTCCACCGCCTAACTGAATCACTCTTTGCTGCAGCTTCTCCAGGAGAGTGCAATTTGCTCCATCCAGGGTCGCCATGACTAAATATCATATTTCAAAATCGGCCGAATAAGTGTTCAAAACATTCGACCGAAAAGCTTTTCGTCGAAGTTAAGGAAGGATCTCCTGATAACTCCCCCCATGCCCATAGCCTTCATTGATCTTTTTGCGCAATAAGACGACGGTTTGCGAGTGGAAGTCATCCACACACCAAGGACCATTACCTCATTTACAAGCTCGAGTTCGTGGCTACTGAGGAAATGCTGATATTCAAATCCTAAATCCGTTGTGAAAATAAACATTAGTCTGATGAATTGACATATGTAGAATTTGACGTTGGGAAGCAATTCATCACACTACAAGTGCATTCAATCAAGCAAGTTTGGAACTATAAAGCGTACTCTGAAATTTCGGTTGGAAGCCACATCTTCAAACCATCAGCAAACATTACAGCTTGCAAAATAGGCAGTGTAAGCAATCGCTCAAGTATATAAAGAACAGATAACGGAAGGTAGCATTTGTTAGCCTGGAATAGGGAGGCAGAGAGCGGGATGCCTGTCTTACAGAAATGGTGGGAAAGGGGGATATATGAGTGGGGTAATTGAAACTGCTGGTTGACGAATGCTGGAATTCCTGGGAAAAACTAAGAATGTCGAAGAAAGTGTTGGAAAGATTTAGGAAGGTAGAATAATTAAGAAATTTAAAAAGAATTCCGTTCAGAACAACAACTTTTAAGAGAAGGCTGCGCCTTTATCTGAATACTGACTATATTAAACTTTTATTATCCCCATCCTCCTTGGATACCTTTCTCTATGACATCGAGAAATGGCCATGGGAATCTTTGGGCGTCGCCACCAAATTACTGAATTCGCTCACATTTCCTCCTTTGTGTGTGGTTCCGCCTTCGAGGTTCCCTCATCAGAAATTTCGACTATTCTTGATTTTTCAGTCCACACATCGCGTCCTTCACAGAACGCAGTATCTTTTCTGACAAATTATCTCAAAGAAGTAGCGATGCTGATTTGGGCTGACAAGGGACTGCCAGAGTCTCTCAGAGATGATGGTGATATCTGAGGCAGTGTCCAACTGTAGACGAATTGCATGGCCATTGAGCAAAACGTCAACAAACTTTCTACGACCAGACGCATTGAGCTGGAAAGCAGCCAAGAGACTGAGAGAATTACCCACGGACTGGGGTTTGGGCTTGCGTTTTGGCCGGAAACGGTGCCTGGAATTAGGAGCGGCGGGAGCTGGCTTGCCTCCAGGAGCTGGTACTGATTTGCAGAACCCATCACGGTGTCCCACCTGATTACAGCTTTGGCAGCGATGCTGGCGGAAAGTGCAATCCCGGTGGAAATGCCACGCGCCACAGTGCCGACAAGGTGATGGCGGAGATCTCGACTTGGACACTTGCTTGGGCCGTGTAACAGGATGTGATTTGGTCGATGTGACCGTATGAACTGAGAAAGATGAGGCCGGGTTCTGAATCATTGCACAGTCGTGCTTGAGATTGATCAGCGTTTGGCACTCTGCTGCCAGCTCTTGGAGTTTGGTGGAGTTGTTCTGCTGCACTTTGGACAGGAGACGTGTCCGGCTATCAGCATCCTTGGGGGACTGGAGGCCGCAAATAAAAATAAAGCACTTAAACTGGTCTTCAGTGAGAGAACCGAGTTGGAAACGCCCACACTCACGATTGACAATGCCCGCATACGTGATGAAATCATCGGAATCTCGTTTGCACAGTTGCAAGCACTGAAATCGAGTGTTGAAGAGGGATGATTGTTCACCAAAAATCTGCGACAACGTCTAAACCGTGTCCTTGAAAGTGACTTCTCGGGGATTCTTGGGGAGGATGAAGTTGACATAACGCTCGTGTTCAGCCGGACCCAGTTTGCGAAGTAGAAGTCGGACCTTCCATGCATCGTCCTGGGCAGCCAGATCGACAAAGAACAAGTCCTCGTATCGCTTTTACCAGGAATCAAAGGTGATATGGGCCTGCGGGTCATACAAGAATTTAGTGATGCTGCCAGCAATGTGATCAACAGATTGCGAACCACCTGCCGTGCTTGATTGACCCATGGACGAGTCGGACAGCTTAACGGATAGTGCCTCCATTAGCTTCAGCTGCTGCTGCAACATCTGCTTCAAGTCTGCGTACTCATCAGCCATCGTAGTTGAAAAACTGCGTCGCCAATATGTTATGACCCGCCTGGTACGTGAAATCCCGTGGAGCGTATACGCACTCGACCCTGGACCCGAATACCAAAGCAGCAGACAAAGAACACACGGCTGGCCACGGAACGTGCATTAGCAAAACACTGCAAGTCACGTCTACCTAAGGGTGACGCATATTTTTAACACGCTATTGTGGTTCGCCGGCATTCGGCCAATGACCTTCGGGAAGAGGGGGAGTAGCCAATGGGAAGGCGCCCGATTAAGATGACAGCGCTTTAGAGAGAGAGCAAACGCACGTGATATCCAGTGATTGGTTTGCTCTTGTTTTTGGGAGTGTAGGCACTCCCAACAATCAGTAAAGAGAAAAAGTGCAAAATAACATCAAAAGCCGTCCAATGCACATGAATTCGAAAAGCTAAAGAACAAAGGTAGTCGAGGTATTTCAGGCGACTAAATAAACCGCTGCCAACTGCATAACGGAAGCACAGGTTGCGGAGATATAGCAGCTAGCCGAAAAAGGCTGCATGCGGTAATTGGGCGTACAAATAACGCAGGTTAAGGGCTGTACCAAGCGACGAAACAACTTGAAGAAAAAGACACGGTTGCCGGGACAAGAGCTTTATTAGCCTGACGTTTCGCATTCCTACTCGAATTCCTCATCAGAGAAAAAAGCTGATATATGTGGTTCATGCATATGGGGCTGCAGCATTTATAAGATGCAGTAACCGTGCTACCTCATACCTATGAATATTCGCGACTCCCCCTTCATCAGGGATCATTGCACGTGGCGTGATGGCCGACATTCCCGCCGATAGTTGTTGCAATATCATCATGTGCGTTGGATGTTGGCGTGATGATTGCCCGACCATCTGACGCGCTGACCCGGGTGTTGGGAAGAGTGTTCACCTCTGCGCTCCCCTCGTGACCAATGACTCCGCCTAGGCGAAGACTCGGCACCGAATATTGAATCGGAAGATCATTGCGCTTGTTAATAGACTGGGGGCCAGTAAACCATGATTCCACTAGCTCCCGTCTCACGCGCTTGTCACCTCCTGCGAGAATTTCGGCCTTGTCCAATCTGAATGTGTGGCCAGAACCCGTCGAATGAGCCGCAGCTTGAGAGCTAGCTTCATTTATCCGCACGGCTGCAGCGTGTTCGGCCATTCGCGTTCGGAGCTGTCTTCCTGTTTCTACGACGTAGTTGCTTTGTCCGCAACTGCAGCAGATCCGATAAACGACTCCAGACGTTTCTAGCCGTTGCAGTGGGTCTTTCGGTTTCATTGACTTACGTCTGATGGTTGCCTCCGGTCTGTGTTCAACTCCAACCCCAAGTGGTGCAAGAAGGCGGCCAACAACTTCCGAAACGTTTTTGAAATATATGAGCGCTCAACAAACTTTGGTGTTCATGCGGTTAGGCCTTTCGTCCCTTTTGCGTAGCCACCGGTTGACGAAGTTGCGCAGGTAGCCAGTGGCTATTCAGACCAGTTGGAGGTATTGTAGTTCGGCAGTCTTGTTTTCCGACTCACTGTAGGGCGTTTCGACACGCCGATAGAGCGTCCTTACACAACTGCTTTTGTGGCTGATTGGGTAGTTGCTGCTGAAGGTCAGTACTTGCATCGTGTTTGTCTCTTTCCTGAACACTTTGCGCTTTAGTCCACCACAATCCTTGCGACTTACGAGGACATCTAGGATGGCCATCGTAAACTGAATGTTCGGAAGGACGGCGTTGAGATGTTTTTTGAATGTCAGCGCCTGATTCCGTTCGATGACGACGAAGGTATCATCCACATGCCGGGCCCAGAACTTCGGTTTGTGGTGTTTGAAGACCAGCGACTCTAACCGTTGTAGGGCCGCCTCGGCGATGCATCCCGAAATCGGCGAACCCATTGGTGTGCCCTTCACCTGTTCGTTGATTGTCCCGTCGAACCTGAAGTACGTCCTGAGACAGAACTTCAGGAACAGAAGGACTTCGGCGTGTCCAAGACGATTCTTCGTTTCATCGTATTCACTTTGTAGTAGCAACTCGATTGTCTCGATCGCCAGGTCCTGGGGAATAGAAGCAAAAAGGGATGTAACATCAAAAGATACCATGACCTCATTTGGATGGAGGCTTACCCCTTTGAGTTTCTCCAGGAATTATGCTGACGAAGAGACCGTGGTGTCTGACTCAGCGGTCAGGAATATGGGACGCCAAAACAGCCACTTAGCCAGGCCGTACGGTGGAGTCCCTTTGAGCGACACGATGGGTCGGGGAGGAGCGCCGTCTTTGTGCACCTTAGGGAGGCAATAGAATCGGACCAAAGCCGTATCTCGTGGTCTCGCCATGCGTCTGTCGGTCGGTGTTAGTGAACCTGAGTTCTCCAAGGCCAACAACGTAGCATTAATTTCGCGTGTCAGCGCTTTTACAGTGTTCGTTGCACATGGGACATAGAACTGTCGGTCGTCCAGTAAACCTTTGGCTTTTTGAAGGCAGTCTGCCCTGTCCAGCACAACCGTGGAGCCTTCCTTGTCCGCTGGCACAATGACCAAGTCTTTATCGGCTTTGAATTCTCTAAGCGCATCACGTTCGACATTGGAAAGCACTTCCCGCGACAAGTGGACCATCAGAAGAGACGACACTTGGTGTCGGATGAGGCATTTAGTCTCCTCCGTTGCCTCCGTCTGACTTAGGATTGATTCCACTGCTGCAATCATTTTAACAGGTCTGGCGTCAGTCGTGTTGAATGATGCTTCGTGCCGTAAAACCTGCATCTGATACCTCGTCAGCTCTTTTGACGACAGGTTTTGCACCAGTTTGTCGTTTCTGGGCGACGTTGGATTGGGCAGCTTTCGGAATTTATTTTGATCTTAGTAAAGCCTTTGATAAAGTGCCACATAAAAGACTCTTGGTTAAATTGGAAGCTATGGGAATTCGCAGTCCACTAATAGACTTTCTCAGGTCATACCTGTCTAATCGTAAACAAAAGGTTTTGGTGGGATCTTCACTTTCCAGTGAAAGTCCTATTGTGAGCGGTGTCCTACAAGGTACCGTTTTAGGTCCTCTTTTGTTCTTGCTTTACATAAATGATATTTCAGCCGCAGTTAAACATTCTCAATCATTTATTTATGCCGATGATCTCAAATGTGTATATTCTTTCAAAAACTCTACGAGCCTTCATTGCCTGGAGCAAATCCATGCTGACTTGCTTGCTCTCTCAGCTTGGAGCTCAAAATGGCTAATGGAATTCTCTCCGTCTAAATGTCGTTATATGTGTTTTGGACCTGATGGGCTATCCCAACCTGTGGTCTTTCAAGGAACACCTATGACTGAATGTACCACCATCAAGGATTTAGGTTAAAGCTACACTAGTAATCTTGATCTCTCGCCGCACGCTGACAGAATTACAGCCAAAGCTGCCCAGATTTGTGGCTTTATTTCTTAAAATTTCTATCTTCCTGAAATTAAATTAAGGCTCTATCGTATGTTTGTACTTCCCATTCTCGAGTATTGTTGCCCATTCTTTGGTTTGATGAATGAAGCCAGTCGTTTAAAAATTGAAAATGTCCAAAGACGTTTTTCAAAAAAACTTTTAGATAGGGAACATCCCAATATCTCCTACTCAGATAGGTGCCAACTAACTAACCTAAAATTTTTATGGGTTCGAGGACTAGAAGCGGGCTTCTGTCTCCTCTTTCGCATTAATCATAGTTCAAATTTTCCTCGGATTTCAACACTTACCCCTAGTAGTCGCCCATACAATCTTCGCAACTCGTCTCTAATTATACCTCTTCCAGCGTCCTCCACCTC